AATTAGGAAAAATGCTTAAACATAGCTATCTGTCAAAGTTATAAAAATTAATATCAAATTCTGCCAAGCCTAGTTAAATTTTAAAGTGAACAGGAATCTATTTTCACTTTAGGGCTAGTCTGCATAGAAAATGTGTACATGTAAACCATAGGAATATATAAACCAGACCATAATAAAGTAGTGCAATCTCCTCCTTTTATGTGAATGCAGTTATGTTGTTATAAGGGTGGCTTATACCATAGCTTGTTCCTAGAAGGGAAAGGGAATAACTATAGTTGTTCAAGCTTTTTTGTGTTGATATAACCACATTTGTACTGATATAAGTATCAGGATTTTTTGTAAAAAATCACACCCTAGCTGACAAATTCCATGTCAGCTGTGGCCCTCTTTTTATTGTCCTTTGTCAGGTGACCACCCTTGCTGACTTCAAGATCCCTGACAGGTGGCCTAGTGCTTATCAGCTCATCTGAAAGAATAGTTTCCTCTGGGCATTGGCTAACTCATAGTCCAAGTCTGCTTCTATTTGAAAAGGACACACTCCAAGTTAACAATCCTAGATTGTTCTACATTTATGAACATGGCCAGGAATCCAGATGGAAGGAAAAAGACAACAGAGAAGGAATAGTATGGTCAAAATTATGTTCACAAAAGAAAATGGAGCTTTCATTTGGATTATCATAGAATCATAGAACCACAGAGCTGGATGAGACCTCAGAAGGTCATCAAGTCCAGCCCCCTGCTCTAGGCAGGACCAATCCCAACTAAATCAACCCGGCCAGGGCTTTGTCAAGCCAAGACTTAAACACCTCTAGGGATGGAGACTCCACTACTTCCCTAGATAACCTATTCCAGTGCATCCACATCCTTTTTGTAGTGGGGGGCCCAGAACTGGACACAATACTCCAGATGTGGCCTCACGAAAGCCGAATAAAGGGGCATAATGACATCTCTGGATCTGCTGGCAATGCTCTTCTTAATGCAACCTAATATGCCTTTAGCCTTCTTGGCTACAAGGGCACACTGTTGACTCATATCCAGCTTCTCATGCACTGTAACCCCAGGTCCTTTTCTGCAGAACTACTACTTAACTGGTTGGTCCTCAGCTTGTAACTATGCTTGGGATTCTTCCGTCCCAAGTGCAGGACTCTGCACTTGTCCTTGTTGAACCTCATCAGATTTCTTGTGGCCCAATCCTCCAATTTGTCTAAGTCAGTCTGGACCCTATCTCTGCCCTCCAGCGTATCTACCTCTCCCCCTAGCTCAGTGTCATCCGCAAACTTACTGAGGGTGCAATACATCTCCTCATTCAGGTCATTAATAAAGATATTGAACAAAACTGGTCCTAGAACCGAACCTTGGGGCACTCCTTTAGAAACCGGCTGCCATCCTGACATCGAGCCATGGATCACTACCCGCTGGGCCCGGCCTTCTAGCCATCTTTCTATCCATCTTACTGTCCATTTATCCAATCCACATTCCCTTAACTTGCTGGCAAGAATATTGTGGGAGACCATATCAAAAGCCTTGCTAAAGTCAAGGGAGATCACATCCACTGACTTTCCCACGTCCACAGAGCCAGTTACCTCATCATAGAAGCTAATCAGATTGGTCAGGCACGCCTTGCCCTTTGTGAATCCATGCTGACTATTCCTAATCACTTTCCTCTCTTCCAAGTGCCTCAAAATGGATTCCTTAAGGATCCCTTTCATGATTTTTCCAGGAACCGAGGTAAAAACTGACTGGCCTATAGTTCCCTGGATCATCCTTCTTCCCTTTTTTGAAGATGGGCACTACATTTGCCTTTTTCCAATCATCTGGGATTTCTCCTGATCTGCATGACTTTTCAAAGGCAGGCCAATTTATTAAATAGCTATGGGGTGCATTTGCAGGTAGATATGGTTATTTTAATATTCACCAGACTCATTCTTATGAAACATCAATAGGCTATCTAGTGGCCATGTGTTGCCTCACTGGATTGTCCAGTAAGATTCCCATCCTGTTCAGACTTATTGCTTACGTTTGACCATAACCATCTTTTTTAAATAAGCAAAGGCAAGCAAAATAAACAACAAAATAATAAGAGTAATCTACAGGGTTTTAGGCAGTCAGCATAGAAATGAATGCATGGCCATATAGGCAGTTCATGATTACTACTGTGCTAGATGTCTCCCCTCTCCTCCTCTATTTTCACAGCAACAGGAGAGGTAGAATTCAATTTGTTTAGGTCTCTTTTAGCTGCTAGCAGTGTAAAGATCACGGCACCCAGATGAGTAGTTCTGATGTTAGCCAATTAAAGGTAAAGATATTCATGCACACAGTACAGACTGTTAAGTAAATCCATTCTTTGCCAAATGTAGTACTGCTCTGAGTTCTATTTTTATTTTCAAGAATATCCAATCGCTTTCAAATGAAATATTACACAGAGAAATTACTAACGAACTATAAGCTAACATCTGTCTCCCTTTCAACAACTGGGCTGACAAATTGCTGCCAATGTCATTTTACTTCACTACCCACCTATTGCCAAAGGGAACTCCAGCTGTACCAGTGGTTAAAGAAATCTACCATCTCATGATCATTGCTTTCGTGGTTGTCACCCACCTCTACTTCCCCTATTAGTTCCTCCCTGTTTGTGAGCAGAAGGTCAAGCTGCGCACGGCCCCTGGTCGGATCCTTCAGCACTTGTGTCAAGAAGTTATCCCCAACATTCTCCAAAAACTTCCTAGATAGCCTGTGTACTGCCATATTGGTTTCCAAACAGATGTCAGGGTAATTAAAGTCCCCCACGAGAACCAGGGCCTGCGATCTGGAAGCTTCGCTCAGTTGTCCGAAGAAAGCCTCATCTACCTGATTCGGTGGCCTGTAGCAGACACCAACCACAACATCACTGCTGTTGTTTGCTCCTGTAAACTTAACCCATAGACTCTCAACAGGTTTTTCTCCCTCTTTATACTGGAGTTCAGAGCAATCATAGTGCTCTCTTACATATAGTGCAACTCCTCCTCCTTTTCTCCCCTGCCTGTTCTTCCTGAACAGTCTATACCCTTCCATGACATCGCTCCAGTCATGTGAGTCATCCCACCAAGTGTCTGTTATCCCAGTTAAATAATATTTCTTGCACTGGGCCAGGGCCTCCTGTTCTTCCTGTTTGTTGCCCAGGCTTCTTGCTTTAGTGTACAAACACCTCAGGTAACCAGTTATAGATTATAGATACAGACAGACATCATGCAATCGATAATACATTATATCATATGCATCAACATTTTTTTAACCTTTTACAAACCACTGCTGACTTCTGATAGAATATCCTTTCAATTAAAAACTATGTAGTATACTATAAAGGAAGGTTCGATCTTACATACCATGCCTATCACAAAATAGTGTGCATATATTATTTATTATGGGTAGATATTGAAATGTCCAGGCAGCCCAGATATCTTGGTATACAAACCATAACAATGCCTTTGGAAAGTACAGCCTGAGGGTTCAGTAGCTCCCGTCTTAGGCTAATTTATTTCAAAGAATACAAAAAAATAATTTCAATGGGGTAAAGGTGTGGCAGGAGTTGGATTTTCCTTCATAGAATACCATTTTTTTCTGTTTTCCTCTGATTTGGAACAAAGCCAAATTTACTAACTCAAAATTCTTGGCAAATAGGAATTTCCATCCTATGCACAACTTTAGCTGAAATACTTTATCCTTTTTCATGATATTGTTTGATGTTGGTCTCAGTATGAATTGAAATGAACACACAGAGTGGGGCTTTATAGGTATGTTTAAACTACATCCCTCTTTCGAAAGAGGGATGTAGTTTAAACATACCTATAAAGCCCCACTCTGTGTGTTCATTTCAATTCATACTGAGACCAACATCAAACAATATCATGAAAAAGGATAAAGTATTTCAGCTAAAGTTGTGCATAGGATGGAAATTCCTATTTGCCAAGAATTTTGAGTTAGTAAATTTGGCTTTGTTCCAAATCAGAGGAAAACAGAAAAAAATGGTATTCTATGAAGGAAAATCCAACTCCTGCCACACCTTTACCCCATTGAAATTATTTTTTTGTATTCTTTGAAATAAATATTTCAATGATTTGTTCAAATGATTTGGCAAAAAAAATGGGATCATTCAAACATTTGTTTAAAAAATCAATAATGTTTTGTTCAATTTCTATTTTGGGTTACCTGTTACATAGAATTAGAAAAAAATGAAAGGCATTCCACAATGAGAAACTGAAGTGTTTAATTAAAAAAATGTCCAAGTAGGATGCTTTCATACTATCTGAAATTTTTTATATTTTTCTAAATGAAATTCCAGTGAAATCAACCTGGTTACATGAAGCATTTAATTTTCAGTGGAGCTACATATCCCAGTTTACCCCATTTATACCCCAATCCAACCATTTATATATCCAGGAGAAGAGGCTATGTGCAAAAACAAAATCCAAAGCTTTTTAATTGTGACTCATAGAATATAAAGGGAGATGGAACCTTTATGATCATCTAGACAGACCTCCTGCATAGCATATAGGCTAAAGGATTTCTTGGAAGTGTCATGTTACTGAATTTGAGGGAAGCAGCCAGATCGCTGCTGCACCCATAGGTGGGGGTGTTGGCCCCAAAAATGGTATAAAAGGGGGCCATGTGGGGTGTTGAATAGAAGCTTACTATCTGCTAATCCTGTGTACGCTAGTCATCTGATTGTATAATGTCTGTGTGTGTAGTTAGAAATCTGTAATCTGTGTGGGTACTGAATATTTCTCTGCATGTGGTTGAGCATTGGGCAGAGCCCGGCCTATGGACATGCTAATTAGCGAGGCCCTGTGGGACAATGGCACTCAATGGGCCAAGGACACACCTAAAGAATGAGGGCTGACACCTGAGGGCTGCCAGCAGGGAACACAGGGTTAGGCCGCTGGCCAGGTGACCTGCTGCAGCCAAGAAGAGACCAGGAAGGATGTATAAAGGTCCATGTGGTTGACTCCATCTTTGGTTCTTAGCTCAGCACTTCATCCCAGAGGCAGCAATGCAGGGATCGAAGAGTCGGAAAGAACTGTGGAGCCATCCTGATTCTAGGATGTGCAACAAGGACTCTTAAGCCAGCAGCTGTAACATCTCTGCTAGAGCCTGCATCGAGAACTGGGAGATTTGATGCATGTAATGTATGATGCTTTAACAACATCCTCTCATGCTTTTCTTTCTTGTGATAAAAAACCTTTAGAGGATAGATTCTAAATGATTGGCTCAGTGTGATTTGTGGGTAAGGTCCAGAGGGTAAATTGACCAGGGATCTGTGGCTGGTTTCTTGGAACCAGACAGAACTCGTTCAGGGTAGATGGGACTGGGTTCTAAGACCCTCCCACCTGTATATGAGGCCCATGGCCATCTGGGGCACGGATATTGCTGGGGTGTCGGAGGGGTTTGCTCTTGAGGCTTCAGGCAGGCTGCTGAAGCGCTCTGTGTGACTGGTTTGTGGCCTGTTTGGAGAGGTCACCAGTCTGGGGGCTGTAAGGAGCCCCAAAGTTGAGCAATTCGCCCTGTGCCCAGACACGGCCCGGTACATCACAGGAAGTAACTCTTGTTTGAAATAGAGCATATCTTTAGAAAAACATCCAAGCTTAATTTGAAGATTTTCCATGATAGATAATCCACTACGATTGATTGGTAAATGGATCTAGGGTTTAACTGCCATCAATTGTAAACAGTTGTGCCCTATTTCTAGTCTGAATTTGTCCAACTTCAACTTCTAGCCATTGGATCTTGCTATCACTGTCTAGTAGACATGTAGGCACTTTCAGACTGGAATCAAGTCTCCACTTAACCTTCATTTTGTTTCTTTAAAAAGATTGAGAGCCTTTAATCTTGCACTGTAAGGCATGTTTCCCGTTCTTTTAATCATTCTCATGGATCCTTTTAGAACTCTCTCCTATTTATCAATGTCTTTTTTAAACTGTGGATACCAGAACAGTATAGCAGTAGTGCCCTGCTTGGTGATCAACAAGGAGCATGGTTGGGGCAATCCTGTGGAGGAGCATGTTCAGGGCAGGATGCTTGTCCCATTCCCTAGTAGGAGTGCCTGGCAGGGCAGAATGGGACAAGCAGTCCTGGGATACGCATTCACCCACACAGATGAGACTGCTTGCTGTTGCTGAGGCATGGATGTGGACACAAATACACGTGAAGGGGGGGAGCAGCCTGCATTTTGAATGCATGTTATTTTCAGAGTAAGTAGATCAGATATGGGTCAATATTTTTATATACATGCAGGGCTCTAAATATAACTTTTATACACCTACTTAGTAGTCTTCTGTTAATGCATCGAGTGTTCATATAAGCCCTTTTGGCCATTTGGGAACTCAAATACAGCCGCTTGTCCTCCATGATCCCAAAGTCTTTTCAGAATAATTGCTTCCCAGAATAGACTCTCCCACCTTCAGAGCATGTCCTACATTCTTTGTTCCCACACATATAGTCTTTGTTCCTACATTTTGCCATATTAAAAAATGAATTGCTCACCTGTGCCAAGTTTACCAATGATTCATGTCATTCTTTACAGCTCTCCTAACCTGAATCATCTGCAAACTTCATCAGTCACAATCTCTGTTACCTTCAAGTGATTGAGAAAAATGCTAAATAGCGTAGTACCAAGAGCCAATCTCTGCAGGAGTCTGCTAGAAGCACATCTGCTCAGTAATGATTTCCTTTTTACAATGGCATCTATCAATTAGCCTGTTTTTAATCTAGTTTATATGTACCTGCGACGGGGTGTATCCACCCCACACTGAGGAGCAGGGATTTGCTGTGGTGCAGCTGGCCGAGAAGGCACCACCCCTACAGCCCTGATGGGCATGATCGAGAGAGAGACCGGGTATAAAAGCCCAGGGAGCCACTCAGTAAGGGTGGACCGCCAGAGGTGAAGGGGCTCAGGGTGGAACTCCTGATCAGCCCCAGCAGCAGCAGCTAGGGTTGATAGATGGTTTCAACAAAAATACCGGACACACTTGACATTACATCACAATCTATATTACACCTTATTTAGAAAATCTGACATTTATATTTTCTCATTTATATTTTCTCAATTTGTTTCCCAAACAGAAAGCTCAATTACTGGACTGTCTGGTTCAAAACTGGACACTTGGCAACCCTAGCAGCAGCAGCAGCAGCAGCAGCAGCTGCCTCTGCCAGGCAAGACATCTGCAAGGGTCTGACTCGCCAAGCGACGCCTCAAGACCTAAACATGTGCCAGGAATGGTAGGAAGTGGCCCAGGGTGGAGGATTGTCCTCCAGGAGCTCAGCACGTTTTGGAGGCATCCCCGCCAAGCAGGCAGTTTGGCCGCTAGGCCATTGTGACCTTGAGAAAGGGGAGTGTGTTTCTGACGAGGCCTTCAAGGCGGTATTTACCCTAACAGAGGGGACTGTACTTTGGACTGAGCCTGCAGGGCCATCTTTGCCCTGTGGAAAGCAGGCACATATCCCGACTTTAGGGCTTCCAGACCGTTGAGGGGGCTGGCCCCTCGACAGTACCATATTGATTTTTGTTGTATTTTACTACTCATAATATGCTATAAAAAGTCAAATATCATTGTGACGGGTCTGCCGGGACTTGCACTGTATCTGGCGGGGAGAGGAGGGTCAGCGAGGAGTGGCATGGTGAGTGGCGAACCCCCCGCCGCTTTTCAGGGAAACAGGGGAAACCCTGTGCTGCCGCCGGCGACGGGCCAGCGGGAGAAGCCCTGCCACCAGCCTGCAAGCAGGGGTGGAGGAGAAGGGGTGGGGCGCTCAGGGGGCAACACCAGCCCACGTCAGGATGCCTGACCACATCAGGATGCTGGCGAGGGGTGGCACCAAAGCCGGTGGGTCCTTTCAAAAGGACACTCGGCTGGCAAGGACAGGGGGCCCGTGATTTGGGAGGAACTTCCTAAGGAGTGTCTGGAGAGGACAAGCCGGAGCAGACCTGATTTCGGCAGCCACACGGGACAGTCCGGCAAGGAGCCCAGTAGGAATATGTGTTAGAGATCCGGAGACGCCGGACAGTGGGAGGAGAAGGAAGTAGCCCGGGGCAGGGCCATTTTGGTGCCCATGGGCTGATGAGTTTCAGGGGGACACCCCGTCAGCTAGGTAGGGAGTTGTAAACCCCTACACCTTAAGGGCCCAGGCTGGGACCCGGTGGTGAGGGAGGGCCTGGGTCTCCTTTCCCCCTCCCTTCGAAGCAGTTGTCCGGGTCGGCCAGTACGCTGCTGCGGCACCCATAGTGCTACTCTCACAAGTATTATACTTCAGAGGGGACGAGGGAGCAGAGAACGCACAGGTTTTCGGGGAACATAAGGCAGGCAGGGCCCTGGGCCACCGCCCAAACTCGGGGCAGGAGAGCTCAGCATCGGACTCACCCGCTACAGTCATACAGATATCTAAATATGTACTAAAAATGGTTTCTTTCTCCAGATCTGTCTGTAATGGATCCCTCATCCTGAGTTCTAGTACAACTTCAGACAAACAAGGGGCCTGGGTTGTGGCCTCAAGAGCAATGCTCATGTAGCATTTTATATCTGACACAGACACTAGCTTTTATATTTGCCAGCTAACAAGCCAAACACATCACAGCTGTCCTTCCTTTGCATCCATCTTTTCTCCAACAGTTTGTCCCCATAAAGAATCAGACTCTCCTTTTGTCTTTACCAAAGGACTTGTTTGTTTTTGAGGTGATGTTTTATGTTTATTGGGTGAGATTATTAACATAGGCCCACATTAGGTCTGGGCTTTAAATTGTTTGGATATTAGCATGAGTGATGGGCCCAAAAGCATGTGACCAACAAGAATGAACTCATGAGAGAGAAGAATTTTTTTTGTTTGGTTAAATTATAGTGATCCTGGGAATAGCAGCATTATTTAATTTAGGGCTTGGGCTGAGGTAAGAAAAACAAAGAGAACATGATTAATGATAGCAGCAGCAGTAAAAATTGGTTTGTTCAGTTTATTTTAAAGAAATGCTTAGTCCACTAATATGGCAAAGTGAGATAAGAAAAAAACTTGATGATAGCAGGATTCAGCTCTAAAGTGTGTATATAGTTTTAGCTAAGTTCCACTAATCAGCAGTGACATCATTTGTTTTCATAAATAAAAAGCAAGGTTTTCCAGTGATTGCTTTATCAGAACTTCTCCAGAACTTCTCCTTGCTCCCTGGAGTTATGGCATAATAGCAAAGTATCTCCTAAACCTGATCCTTATTTACCTATGACCTTTTCCCTACTTCTCCTGCATTTGCTGTTTGAGATAAGTGTAATGATATAGTATATGACTGACTTTGATGTTATGATTATTTGAAGCATGCATGGAGACAAGTAATTAGGTTATCAAGCTTGCTGTGATAAGAATTTCTTGTATGAGTATGAGGCTTATTGGCAGAAGTTAAATGAAACTCAGTCTTTAGCATCAAACTGTACAGGCCTGAAGGAATAAAGCTATAGGTCATAATTTTGCACTTTCAGTCATGGAAGGTAAACAAAAGACTACAAAAGGGACAGGATACTGTAATATCCATAAGAGGTGAATGTGGGGATTTATTTACAGTTAGGTTGTTAGACACCAGCTGAAAAGATAGGAAATATTAACTCTCAGAATCATTAGGAAATCATTTGAGAAAATTTATCCAAATGCTTAATAGAAATTACTATGGTTAATTATGGACTAGGGGTGTTATCTGTAAACCAGTAAGCCTCGCCCTTAATGTATGAGGCTTACCGGTTATGGTTAACGGTGGGGTGACCAACCAGGGTAGCCCTCATCCACGATGGGGAAGGGAAGTCACTCCAGCCCAGCTTCAGGAGAGCCTTCTAGGAGCAGTGGCCCCCCCCCCCCCCCCCACCT